CAGGGGTTCCAGGAGCTGGAGATGAGAAGGGAGGCCACTGGAGGCATTGAGGCAGCCTCTGTGAAGACAGACAAGGAAATGGAATATTGGGGGAGGGGCAAGTGGAGAAGAGGATAACATGATAATGGTAGGGATGAAACTAAGCTGTGCATCTGGTGGGAAATGTAAATTTAGCAGTTGTGTGGAAGATGGATTGAAAAAGGCAGGAGACTAGAGGTACAAAAACTAATTAGGAGCTATCAAACTAGTCCATGCAGAAAAGATGAGATCCTGAAATAGGGTGTTTGTGGTGTAAGTAGAGTAGAAAAGAATGGATGTGAAAAATGCTGAGATAGAATAGATAAGACTGGGCTACTGGTTGGGGAGGGGAGGGGAGGGAGAATGAAGAATTGAGGATGGTTGCGTTTTTGAACCTAGGTGACCAGAAAAATGATTGTGTCTTGAATAGAATAGGGACAGTTAAGAGAAGTCCATTTACGGGGAAAGATGATAAAGTTTTCTTTTGGACCTGTTAATTTTGAAATGAGTATGGAACAAGCCAAGTGAAAATAGCTAGTTTGGTAGTTTGGATTGTGAGAATGAAGACTAAAAGAGACATAAGTGCTGGGGGTGTAAATTTTACTCATTTGCATAGGGGTGGTAGTTAAACCTATGAGATCTGATCAGATCATCTGGAGTAAAGAAAAGATGACCCAGAATGGAGCCCTAGGCTTCACACAATACTTTTGGAATATGGATAAAGAACCTGCAAGGGAGATTGAGATAGGTATCTAGATAGTGGATAGAAAAATCTGAGCCTGAAATAAGGAAAACCTGAATTCAAATCTGGTAACAGATACTTGACCTTGGGCAAGTCACTTAACTTTTGTCTCAGTTTCCTCAACTGTAAAATAGAGATGACAATAATAGCATAGGTGATAGATAAAAATCTAAGGGTTTTTGTGAACATCAAATGAGACAGTTTTGTAAAGTGATTAGCAAAGTGCCTGGCACATGTAGGTGCTATAAAAATGCTAGCCTGTTGTTATTATTATGTGAGTCAGACAGAAAGAAAACCACAGCAGAATGGTGGAGGGGGTAAATTTCAAAAATTACAGATAGATAATGAACATGAAGACTAAGGAAAAGCCATTAGATTTATTAATAGAAATAATTGGGGATTTCAGAGAGAGAAGTTTCAGTTGAGAGATAGGGACAGAACCATGTTGTAAGAGGTTGAGAAGTGAGTGGTATGAGATGGTGGAAGTTTTTTTAGGAGTTTGCTCAATACTAGAATATGACTTGAAAGGCTCATAAGATGAAGGGAGAGTTTTTTAAGTGTATGGTAAGGAGATGTGGGCATGGGGGTAGACAGTAAGAAAAGGAGGAGTGAGAGAAAGAAAAGGGAAGGGAGATCATATACCTAAAGGAGTAAGTTTATCATCGAGGACATGTTAAATAGGATTGGGGTTACAACTGGATGACTTGGTGACTTGGTTTTGGCAAGGACACATGCCACTGTGTCCTTTTGAGATCAGAGCAAAGGAGAGAATGAGGTATGAAACATTTCCCAGGAGCACGCTAACAAGAGGGGAGAAGGCACGTAATGGAACTAATCTAACAATGGAATTTGGAAAGAGATAGAGCAGTGAGGCAAGAGATTCAAGAGTTGAAGGACTGTGTAAAGCTGAAATGGCTAACTAAAAGAGATTTTGAAAGGAGGATAATGAGGCCAAGCCCAGGAGTGGTGGAGTGACTACTTGTTGCAGTAAGGACAGAAAGTAGGTTTATCAAGTGAGGCAGGGGACTGCTTGAAGGACATGAGATTATGGCCAAAAGGAATTTTAGAGCTATGTATTGTGAATGTGGAACAGTGGTGGGTGTTAACAAGATCAGATAGTATTACCATCCCTGTCTATAGATGAGATGGATAGAAAAAAAAACAAACTGATCAAAATGACTTTCAGTGGAACAAGGAGGAGGGGGAGCAGTGCAACTGACACATGGACCTCACTCTCATCTGACCTGTTCAAAGGAGAGAAGAATATAAAACACACACTATTAGGTGCAGAGATACATTTTACATTAAACAGGGAAACAGCATAGGGAAAAAAGAAAAGCAGATAGAATGATGGACAAGTGGATTAAAAAGAGATTAGTCCTAAGCATTGCAAACTCCTATGAATGTTCAAACAAGTTTATAGGTCTTTTTCCAGTGGAAAGAATTGGAAACTGAGAGGATGCCCGTCAATTGAGGAATGACTAAACAAGTTGTGAATACTACTACACTCTAAGAAATGATGAAGAGAATGATTTCAAAGAAACCTGAGAAGACTTGCATGAACTGACTCAGAGTGAAGTGTTTGTACAATGACAACAAACAACTTTGAAAGACTTAAGAACTCTGATTGATACAGTGACCAACCAGAGGACTCATGATGAAACATTTGACCTACCTCTTTGATAGAGATTTGAAGGAATAAGTGAAAAATGAGACATATAAATATATAGATATATAAAGAGAAATATATCTAGATAAATAGGGGGAAAAAACAATTCCCATTACAAACATATATAGTCAAGCAAAACTGATTTCCACATCAATCATACAAATATTTGTGGAAATTTGTTTTTGCCTGACTATATATGTTTGTAACAGGAGTTGGGTTTTCCTCCCTCTTTTTTTTTTTTACGGAGAATAAAGTAAAGTAAATAGATTTTTGCTGATCAGGGAGAAACATAAATTTTAACTTAAAAAAATAAAACTTCAGTGACACCCAGTTGCCTGCAAAATAAAGGCCATACACAACTTAGCATTTTGGGCCCTCTGAAATCTCATACCAGCCTATCTCTCCAGACTTCTTATCTCTCTAGATTTCCCTGTAAATCTTCTACTCCTGACTATTTACTTTGCCCTAACTATTCTGTGCTTTTCCTTGCTGCTGTGGTTCTGTTCATTCCTTTCTCCTAACCCAGAATGCCTTTGTTCTAGAATGAACCCTAGAGGTCACAGTCAAACTCACTAAAAAATGAAGTATCATCCTTCAGGTCCAGCTTAGTTCATACATCTTCCATGAGTTCTCCCCAACAGTGCTAAGCTGATCTATCACTCTTAACGAAGTTAAAATATTTGTTGTCTATACCGGTCTTCTAGTGTTTTGTCATGTTGCTTTCTTGACCCAGGGAGCAATGTACAGAGACAAATTTAGTAAGACCAATGTAAAGAAAACCCTCCAAATAATTAGACCTGTTTGGATAACAGTAAAATTTTCTTCACTGGAGATATTTTTTAGAGTCTTGACTGTACACCAGTGAATGTTAGACTGGTGACCTCTGAGATGCCTTTAAATTGTGAGATTCAGTGATTTTGAATCACACGCCTGTGTTTCATCCAAAGTAAACTACTTAACATTTTCTAAGTCTCATCCTGCCTTTCTGGCCTTTCTGCATTTGCCTGTACTAGTCACATAAGTTGTCCTACCTAGAATAGATTCCTCTCAATTGGCTGAAGTTTCTCTCTTTCGAAGCCTTACTACCCTGGTCACACTTCATCCGTGAAGCTTTTCCTGATCTCTGAAATCTCTGATTCTTGAAATCATGATTTTCTCATGTGTAAAATGAAAAGGTTGCCCTGAGTCTCTAGTGTTCTTTCTTGAGGACAGGGACTATTGAGTATGGTACTCGACAAATAACAAGAGCTCAGTAGGCAGACACTGGTAAAATTTAATGAAGTATTTTTATTTTAGAGGCAGCCGTACTGAAATGAAGTCAGGAAGTGAGTCAAGAAGACCTGGTTCAAGCCCCGCTTCTGACATAGATTGGTTTCAGAGAGAGTGCTGATTTGTTTTGGTAGAGGGAGATAAATCATAAGTCCAGCCTCTATCCCTATAGTATATATTTTAGATGAATTTCAGGTTGGAAGTTTTCATTTCTTTCCCTGGTGATAATGTACTTGTTAACAGAATGCTATGATATCTGTTACTAAAGTTACTGCTAACATTAAATATAATTATTTAAGTACATTTGATGACAGAAAGAAGAATCCTGTGTAAAACAAAATATTCATAACAGTACTTTGAAATAGTAAAAAATTGGCAACAAAGCTCATTAATTGAAAATTTCCTGAATAAATTTATCATGTGCAATGGAATATTTTTCATCATGAGAAATGGCTATGAAGAAATCAGAGAAACAAGGGGAGAATTCTATACAAAGAAAGCAGAACTAAGACAACCATGGCTATAATAGTGTTAATGAAAATAAAACTGGAAGGCAGTAGAACTCAGATTAATTGTAATAAGTAACTATTATCCTAGAGAAGAGAGAAATGAAATATACCTTTTTTGTGATAGAGAAGTAGGAAACTATGGGTATGGAGAGTTAGAATTGGGGTCTGTTTTGCTTAATTAGTCTTACTTTTTCCTCATACAAGGACATGTCCTTGATGGGGCAGTAGCATCAAAAATCTAGCTTTTATTTATGTGTGTGTGAGTGTGTGTGTGTATGTGTGTGTTATTTTATCTATTTTTTTCTCACTTGATCCTTACAACTGCCTTGTGAAGTAGATGATATTGTTATCTCTATTTTACATATGAAGAAACTGAGGCTGAAAGAGTTTCAGTGAGGTTAGCATGAGGTAGGATGTGATGGAGAAATTGCCATGATGTAAACAACAAAACAAAACTCACACAAATGTCATTAATTATAAATGTTTGTGTCAGGAAATAAGCAATTTTAACTATTTTAAGAGCCCCACTTTGCCCTTAAATTTGAAAGAAAGCAGTAACAGAGAAGGGGAATCTGAAGGTAAATATTGATTATAGGAGACATCAGTGTTCTGGTGAAAAAAATGTGGGGCTAGGGTACCCAGGTTCAAATCTTCAGTCTGCTCTTTACTTCTCTGGTAGCCTTAGGCAAGTGACAGCACCTCTATGAGTCTTAGTTTCCCCGTCTGGTTTAACTGAGTGGTGTCTCAGAGCCTTTCAACTCTAAATCCCATTTGTTTGTTTTGTTCTGTATAGGTAAATTAACAAGATGGATTTCTCCCAACTGCCCAAAATTCGTGATGAAGAGCAAGAAAGTGTGCTTGGTTATGTGTATGGTGTCTCCGGACCTGGTAAGTTCTGCTACTTCATTTCATTGGTGAGTTTGTTCTTATAGAAACGCATGAACCACTCACAAGTAGACATGTTTGGCATCCTCTCAAGAACCAGCCCATACCTCTACTTTGTCAGTCTTTCCCTAACCACCTTAGCCTTTCAGTGATCTCTCCTTCCCCCACACATTTATAGCAATAATTGTGTACACTCCTGTAACCTTTTTCTGTTGTCTTGAACTGTTCTTTAAATCTGTTAGCTGTTTAACTATTTGCTCATTTAAGTCTTCACAACAAAATTGAAATTTCTTTGAGGACAGAAATCAAAGTTTGGTTTTTTTTTCTCCCAAAATTTTGCTTAATAAAAATGATTAATAAAAATTAGAGAAAGCTAGGTGGCGCAGTGGATAGAAGTCAGGAGGACTTGAGTTCAAATGTGGCCTCAGATACTTGACACTTACTAGCTGTGTGACCCTGGGCAAGTCACTTAACCCCATTGCCTAGCACTCCCCACCCCTCCCAAAAAATTAGAAACTTCAAAATTATTCGGCTATTCAAATGAGGGTCACTTATCACAACAATTGGAATTAGGGCCCTATGAGTTTGAGAAGTTTTGAGATAAAGAAATTTAATAGGTTTTCTTCTACCTACCTCATTTCCTCCATGTGGTGACAAATGCCTCTCACGTTGATTATGTGGTAACCCATGTCCAGTAGAGAAGGAGAAAGGAAGAAGCCTATTCATAAGACTTACATGGCCAGTCAATCAACATGCATTTATTAGGTACTTCTGTATATGAGGCACTGTACTAAGTGCTAGGAATACAGATGATAAAGAATAAAACAATCCTTAGAAAATTTACCTTACAACTAGATGGAAACAGTAAGAGGGTTCTTTTTGTCCTGAGTGATTACTTGGCAGCTCCTTCCAAAGTTGACTTCCTAGCTTTCTATTTTGTATAGGAAAAGTCCCATCTCTGACAAAATTATTCAGCTCTCTTCTTTTTGGAGGTTTCAGGATGGAAATTGGTGGGGAGCAGGGTGTTAGCTGCAATATTACCTTCCCTTCCAGATCTAAGCTAAGTGCTTCAAATATATTGTCTCATTTGATCCTCACAACAGGGAGATAGGTCCCATTTTACAGGTGAGGAAATTGAGACCAACAAAGTAAAGTGACTTACTTTCTTAAGGTCTCACAGTGTCTGAAGCTGAATTTGAACTTAGATCTTCCTGACTCAACTCCAGGAAAGTCTGTCCACGTTGCCATCCAGCTGCTGCCAAAGTTTTAAGGCCTCATTAGGTTTGGAGGAGGTGAATCATAGTGTTGGTTTATACTGAGTTAATCAGCCAAAATCCCCCTTCCCCATGGTCTCTTTTCCCTGAGCCACTGTGAAGTCAGTATACCGAACTGTAGGGCTTCCTGTTTTCCTCAGTGTATTTAACATAAGTCAGCCTTACTATAGAGTTGTACAATCCACTTTTCTCAGTCTTTTCCACAAGGTTATCATAAGAAACTGTCAAATGCCTTGTTGTTGAAATGCCTTAATTATGTATTTTACCAATATATTGTATTTCTTTGCCTAAAATAAAAAACCCTAACAGCTTGTCTTCAATCTTTGGCCTTACGTTTTTGTCATCAGAGTATCCCTAGACAGTTGTATCTCTATCTCAGCCACAGACAATATATTTGCCAGGCCTGGTCTATTTTAGCTAATTAAAAGGCAGGTTTTAGTTTCCATGTCTAGATTTCCAGATCAGACCACAAAGGGACATAGGTTAATTATGCTACAGTTCCTTCCAACTCCCATGCTCAAAAGATCCTCTATGTTAGTGTTTCATCCCTGTTTAATTCAACAAACCTAATTTTTGAGTCACTGATAAAATTTATCATTCTTTGTGCTAAAGAGAAAAACTTCTGCTGTCAAAAACCTTTCAGAATAGCTCTAATTAAATTAATTGTCCCTTGTAGGAAATAAAAAATTTTAACAGAAATTTAAACAAGGTTTTAAATTGGTTCCATTATACTTCTAACATGAGTTCTTGCTCCAGTGACGCCAACTTCCTCATAGTCTTCCTTATACATACACAATACTTGTCCTTATAAATGCTTTAGAGAAAGTAAAAGAAAACTTAGCTTAGCCTATAGGTCTCAGGACACGATGAAATAACTTGGGGGAAATGGAAAATAATATAACAGATATTCCATAACTGGAATCAGCAACCTTCTCCCCATTAATTGATGACTGTAGCAGCTGGGGTAGGGATTAGGAGAAGATATAGTATTGTGTTTGAGGGGCAACAAAGTAGTCCAGTATGACTGAATTGTGGAGTGTGTAAAAGGAAATGAAGTATAAGAATACTGGAAAGGAGGAAGTGGATGGCACAGTGATAGCAGACAATTGAAAGAAAACAGCCATTCATTTCATATTTTGCTTCTGTTTTCTTTGTCAAGAAGAAATGCATTTGGAGTCTAAAAGACAGAAAACAACTAGTTTCCATAGTGGAGTGGGACACGGTGGAAAAAAGAGCACCGGCCAACTTTACTGGTCAGAGGACCTAGATTCTTGGGCAAGTCACCATGATCTTGGGCAAGTCATTTAACTTTCCTAGGCCTCAGTTTCCTCTTTTATACAGTGAGGGTATTGAACCAAGTGACCTCAAAGGTTCCTTCAGCTCTAAGTTGTCGTTTTCTAGCTGGATCTGAAAATGGAAGTTATTAGGTACAGTACCATGTACATAATGGGCAGTGTTTGAGCTAAACTGGAAAAGTTAGCATGTCTTCCCTTGCCCTTTTTTACTAACCAGGTGAAGCATTGACTTTAAATTTTTTCATGTTCTTTTATAAGGATACTCAAAGTTGTTGTGTTTGTTATATGAATTTAAACTTTTTTATATAATCACATCCATCCCTGGAAACTTTCTCATGAGTAGCTTTGCTTTTGTAAAATACTTCTCTCCCACACTTTTCAGATGTGATCAATATGTTGATTTGTTATTTATTTATTTATTTACGTGTTATTTATTGGGAGCAGGGCAGATTATATTGGTGGGATGAGTTAATGGATGGTGATAGAGATGCCAAAAAGGACAAACCACATGAAAACAAAGTTCGAAGAGGGATACAAACAAATGGCAGTTTTATTACTACCTCATTAAATTTACTATACACTTAAAAAGCAAACTACCTACATAAGTTCATGTGTTCACATATAGTCCTCTTTTTTTTATCTTTTTATCAAAATTTTTGTCTTTGGTTCATAGTTTAAAAAAAAAAGATGCTTCTTGTTCATCATAATGAGAGTATTAGTGTCTGGATTAGCAGAGGCTGATATTTAATTTTTGATTTCATACTTGCTGTTTGGGCTAATTACCAGCATCCGTGACTATTTTCATAACTGATAGTGTTCTACCCCAGCAGTTCATTAAAATGCTCATATTAAACCTAGGTTTTACAATAATTCTTCCTCGAATATTCACTATTATGTAGTTTTAACCAAATGTACCAGTAGGCCTAATACTAAGCAGGCTTACTTCAGTTTAGATCTGAAAAAAACAGGTCTCTTCCTCCTCTCCAACAACCAGCCTGTCAATTGGGTTTACTTGGCTGTGTTGTCTTGCTTGTGTAACTTAGTGGATTCAGACTTTGTCCAGGTATCTGGATCATTATGATCATTATGATGAGGTGCTGCTTTAATCAGAAGGACCTATTTCACATCAAATGTTGGTAATAGGATAGTCTGGCATCCTACCACCTGGAGCTCTGTAGAATAGCTTTGGTTTCTGTTTTTATCATATTTTAATTCTCTGAAAATTGGCAATCCTTGCATGTAATTCATCTCCATTAAGTAGAATACCCTTTTTCCTAACCATTGCCAGATATTTACTATAATAAATACTAATTATACTTGTATAATTTGTATCATTTACTTTTTACTTTTCAAAGTACCTTCATATACATTATCTAAAGAATCTTTTCAACAAATGTTATTTGTCCCTTTCCTTATGCTCCTGAAAGTAAGTTTTATTGTCCAGTTATTATAAATGTTCTTTTATCCACAGTGGCTGCTTTGCTTCTTTAAATACAAGGAATAAAATTACATTGTGTTTAGCTTTGGTTTTAACTATATCAAGTACTCTTGAAATATTTTAATTTTAAATAAAAGCGCATGACAATTGTTTTTTATTACAGTGGTCACTGCCTGTAACATGGCCGGTGCAGCTATGTATGAACTGGTAAGAGTGGGCCATAGCGAACTGGTTGGAGAAATTATTCGATTGGAAGGTGAGATGGCCACTCTCCAGGTGTATGAAGAAACCTGTATCCTTCTTGTTAATGGACAAGCACTGCTCTTTTCACAATATCAAGAATTTTATACCAAAGGCAGAAGCAGCAGTTGTAGTTTTCAGATTTTAATTTACAAAATCAGAAGCATGATATTTAAAAATACATATACACACAAAACCCTCTAACGTATAGCAAAATAGATTGGGGTAACAGGGGAAAAGGGAGCAGCTACTCAGAAAGGGAAAGCACTAGAAATAGTGAATCACTATCTTGTCCAGAAAGATTTGTAAGAAATTGCCTATTTCTTAAAACGAAAAAATTTGGATTTAAGTTGTATCCTAAACCTAGAGGTAGCATGATGACATTGTTAAGGAAAACAGTCAAACAATAACCATGTAAATGAATGTTAGTAATATATAATAATATTTATTTCTCTGAGAGAATCCTTTTTTTTCTCTTTTTAAAATTTTTTTTATTAATTTATTTTGATTTATCAACAATCACTTCCATAAGCCTTTGAGTTTTAAATTTTTCTCTCCTTCCCTGCCCACCTCCCTCCCCAAGACAGTGTGCAATCTGATATAGGCCATACATATACATTCCTATTAAACATATTTTCACATTAGTCATGTTGTAAGGAAGAATTAGAACTAATAGGAGGAACCACAAGAAAGAGGAAACAAAACAAAACATAAGAATAAAAGAGCAAATAGTATGCTTCGATCTGCATTCAAACACCATAGTTCTTTCTTTGGATGTGGATAGCATTTTCCATCATGAGACTTTTGGAGATGTCTTAGATCCATGCATTGCTGAGAAGGGCTCAGTCTATCAAAGTTAGTCATCACACAATGTGACTGTTACTGTGTACAATGTTCTCCTGGTTCTGCTAACTTCACTCATACAATACATTCAATCCATTCAAATCTTTCCAGGTTTTTCTGAAGTCTGCCTGCTCATCATTTCTTATAGCACAATAGCATTTCATCACATTCCTATACCACAACTTGTTCAGCCATTCCCCAACTGATGGGCATCCCCTCAATTTCCAATTCTTTGCCACCACAAAAAGAGTTGCTATAAATATTTTTGTACATGTGGGTCCTTTTCCCATTTTTATGATCTCTTTGGGATACAGCCCCAGAAGTGCTATTGCTGGATCAAAGGGTATGCACAGTTTTATAGCCCTTTGGGCATAGTTCCAAATTGCTCTCCAAAATGGTTGGATCATTTCACAACTCCACCAACAATGCATTAGTGTTCCTATTTTCCCACATCTTCTCCAACATTTATCCAGCTTGTGTGTTCCTCCCGTAGGAAGTCTTTTGTGAACCCCTTTGCTATTTTTGCTCTCTTATACTTCAGATGATCATGTACATGTTTGTCTGCTTACATGTTGTATCCCCATAGATAGAATCAAGGTTCCTTACAGGCAAAGCCTGCCTTTTTTTGTTTGTTTATTTGTTTTGTCTTTGCAGCCATAGTGCACAGCACTAGGCTTGTAAGAAATTTATTAAAGGTCTTGCAAATACACCCTTTGACCCAGCAATAGCACTTCTGGGGTTGTATCCCAAAGAGATCATAAAAATGGGGAAAGGACCCCATGTACAAAAATATTTATAGCAACTTTTTTTTGTGGTGGCAAAGAATTGGAAATTGAGGGGATGCCCATCAGTTAGGGAATGGCTGAACAAGTTGTGGTATATGAATATAATGGAATACTATTGTGCTATAAGAAATGATGAGCAAGCAGACTTCAGGAAAACCTGGAAAGACTTGTACGGACTGATGCTGAGTGAAGTGAGCAGAACCAGGAAATCATTGTACACAGTAACAGCCACATTGTGTGATGACTAACTTTAATAGACTTAGTCCTCTCAGCAATACAAGGATATAAGACATCTCCAAAAGTCTCATGGAAAATGCTATCCACGTCCAAAGAAAGAACTGTGGAGTTTGAATGCAGATCAAAGCATACTATTTGCTATTTTTTTTTCTTCTGTTTCGTTTTCTCTTTCTTGTGGTTCCTCTTGTTGGTTCTAATTCTTCCTTACAACATCACTAATATGAAAATATATTTAGTAGGAATGTATATGTATAGCCTACATCAGATTGCACACTGTCTTGGGGAGGGAGGTGGGCAAGGAGGGGGAGAAAAATTTAAAACTCAAAAGCTTATGGAAGTGATTGTTGATAACTCAAAATAAATTAATTTTTTTTAAAAGTCTTGCAAATAGTAGACATTTAATATGTTTTTCCGAAACTATAACTCAAAGTATGGTGATTCAGAAAATGTACCTTAGGAAAAAGCTATGAAATTAGGAGTTATAACATCTGTGAATTTAATTATTATCAGTTTTCAGTCAGTTTCTGAATTTTTTACCTCCTTACCTCCATTTTTCTGTGGTTTTCATCTCTTTCCTCATATAAATCACTTCCAGATTCTTAAGTATATCTTTAATTTGTGAATTTTGAACTTATTACTAAGAATTGGACTTGACTTTAGGCACTAATATTAAACTTTAAAGTATGTGTCCATCATTCATAGTTTTGTTTCTGCTGTAATATAGTACTTCAACATTTTGTAATATGTATGCAGCCATAGTGCTTTATTTCTGTTAAAACTTTTATGTCAAGTTTTTCCTTAGCTTATCATTTCCAGCTGGTGTAGCTGTTGGTGATCCAGTACTCCGGACTGGCAAACCCCTCTCTGTGGAGCTAGGTCCTGGCATAATGGGAGCCATTTTTGATGGCATTCAGAGGCCTTTGTCAGACATCAGCCATCAAACTCAAAGCATTTACATTCCCAGAGGTGTAAATGTATCTGCTCTTAGCAGAGATATCAAATGGGATTTTGCACCTTCTAAAAACCTTCGGGTATGTTGTGGCTCAGTGACCAAGATCTTCTAATGTTTTTGCAAAGAAGATCATAGAGTTCAGAGCTCGAAGGGAAAAGAGGTTGGAATGAAGGAAACAACACTAGGAGATTCTGTGTGATTATAGTATAATCCCAAATAAACTACAAAATATATTTTGAATTTTTCATTTTTTATAGCAACCATATTCAGTGAAATGGTAGCAGTGATGTACTTACAAATCAGGCAAGACCCCAGGATTATGCTAGTGGAGGTGAACTGATGAGCATTTGTTTTAAAATTAATAAAACAACCATGTGTTCTCTAGGTTGGCAGTCATATCACTGGTGGCGATATTTATGGATTAGTAAACGAGAACTCCCTCATCAAACATAAAATTATGCTGCCACCCCGAAACCGAGGTACGGTGACATACATTGCTCCACCTGGCAACTATGATGCCTCGGTAAGTATCTTTCAAACATTTTGGAGAATATAATTCTTATCCCCATGTCATGTTTGTCTTTTTAGTTCCCTAAGTAACACTTAGCTTCAACTAATGCTCTCCTTAACTAATTAAAACTTAACTTCAGGAAGAATTCTTGTAATTCTTATTTTAATTAGGACTTTTTAGCAGGATTTGTCTTGGAATAAGGGCTACAAAGTATATTCTTATTTGTTTTGATTAAGAGAGAGGAGAAATTTCTTGAGTTCATTTTCCCCTCTTAAACTCTGCCCTCTTGTTGTTCTGCTCCTATAGGAATCCAGCAGACTTTGCTTTCCTCTCATCTATTTATATTTATGTACCTAATTTTGTAATGGTATGAGCATATAAGAGGGATAAAACTTCAAAAAATTATAGTTTAATGTTGTTCAAATTGATTATGGTTCTCTTGTTGAAATATATCAGATACTTAGATTAAATATTATAATTTATAATTTTGTTAGTTAGAATAAGAAACATTCAGTTTGATAGCAAATTTTGTTGTCCTCTTATAGGATGTTGTCTTAGAGCTTGAATTTGAGGGAATAAAAGAGAAGTTCACCATGGTCCAAGTGTGGCCTGTCCGTCAAGTCCGTCCTGTCACTGAGAAGTTGCCCGCCAATCACCCTTTGTTAACTGGCCAGCGAGTCCTGGATGCCCTTTTCCCGTAAGCACACTCTGTGTTGGCTAGTCTCTGGTTGGGACTGTTTGTGCTAATCTTGCCATGGGTTATCCACATGCCATTACTAACAGGAGACACCCTTAGAAAACAGTTTTAAGTTTTCTAAATGCCATACATGTATTTTCATGTGATCTTCGCATGAACCTGGGAAGGTAAATGATGGTGATGATGATGCCACCCATTTTACAGATTAGGAAACTGAGACTGAGAAAGGTTAAAAATGTTTTGTCCATGGTATTACAGCCAGTAATGTCATGAATGAGATTTAAACCCAAGTACCATCTCCAGGTAGTAGAACTTTTTCTACCATGCCCTGTGTTAGAATAAATTATTCTCTCCCATATTCAAAAGAAGAGTGCTTTGTAAAATTTCCTGGAAAAAAAAATCATGTCTAAAAAGCATTGCAGTCCTCTTTTAAAGTTCCTCCAAACTATCTAATGAAAGTGATTTCTTCTATAAATACTTTTTTTAAAAAGGAAAAAGCTTTCTTCATTATCTAGGTATTTTTACTTTCTTAGGAATAGAAGTGCTATATTGCCATATATATGGTTTTCTTGCTTCACTAGAAAGTGAATGATCTAGACCCATTTTCTTTGTCCAGATGTGTACAAGGAGGAACTACTGCTATCCCTGGTGCTTTTGGCTGTGGAAAAACTGTGATATCACAGTCTTTATCAAAGTATTCCAACAGTGATGTGATCATCTATGTGGGTTGTGGAGAAAGAGGAAATGAAATGTCTGAAGTACTCAGAGACTTCCCAGAGGTTGGTATCCACAAGACAGAACATCACATAATGCTTGGGAGACACCCTAATGCTAAGTGGTCATTGTAATTAATGTAGCATTATAGCAGCTGGGACCCCCAAGACTAGAAAAGACTCCTTAGCTTTCAGCAAAGTGAAGAATTTCCACTTAGGAAATAAGTTCAAGGGAAAGATTATGTTTTTTTCAAATTATTTACAGCAAAGAAAACACTAGAATTTGTGATGATTTTCAGTTCTTAGTAGAAAGATAATGGAAGACAACTACATATTTTTTACTTGTGAACTTGATATTGAGTGTTCTTTAATATGTGAAACTTAATAGATTTATTTTCAAGTAAATAATGCATTTTTTTTAATTAAATGAAGAAGGCAGTTGCATTTTTTCACAGCAGAATTATAAGGAGACTTAATATGAGTATACTGTGACTGGGTGAGTATAGGATATTTATAAGGGTGAATATGGTGTATAATCACCAGTTCAATTCAGCAAACATTTATCAAGTGCATACTATGTTCCAGGCACTGTGCTATCTGCTGAGGATAAAAAAATAAGAAAAAGAAACATAGTCCCTGCCCTTGAAGAGTTTGCAGTAGAAAGGAAGAAACAAAACACAAAAAGAAACTGAGAAAGGGGGAGGGGGAGAGAGATTTTCAGTGGGATCAAACCAAGCAAAGATGATGATGGAAAGTGGAGAGTTACCATGAAAGTTCTGAGCCCTCTATACAGGAAGGCTTTGGGAGGAGTTAGCAAACCAAAGGAGAAGCAACAGAAAGAGGTAAGGTGTTACCAGTCTCCCAATGTCATAGTGAGATTTCAGGTGATCAGCTTATCCTAGAGGAGGCATGATAAATAAATGCCTTCCAAAAATTGGACAGAATGACAGATCATGCTGAAATAATGTACTCTTGATCTAAAGTCATATAGTTTATAACCTGTGAAATGCTTAGTCCGTTCTTAATTTCATTGAAAAGTAAGATTATATAAATCTAAGGAAGCAAAAAAAAAAAACCCAAAAAAGTTATCTCTGTTTAAATAGAAGACTGTTTAGGAGCTATCAGATATTCTTCATTTTATTAATAAGATGATATTGTCAGTGTCCACTTTGTCAGACCATATTAAAGACACAGGCTGCCGTGACTTCGGTCCTTTTAACTTTCCATTGGCTAAAATACCTTGTACTAGGTCCATGGCAGTCTTGGCCTTATACTCACCACCACTTTTGATTCTCCAGTTGCTGCTCAGTCATATCCTACAAGTTCAATAAACTGCTGCTTTCTGGTATTACTAGACAACTTGAAAAGTACATTAGCTTCCTGGTGACAAGAATACAGCATGTAGGTGCCCCAGCGTAGTATTTAATAGATGATACTTTGTTGTGAAAATCACAGTTTAGAGCAGGAAAGAAACTTAGAAATCATACAGTCCAGCCTCCTACTCTTATAGAAGAGGAAACTGGGGCCTAAGGAGAGAGAGGGTAACTTGCCTAAGGTAGAAGCAGAGTGGGGAAAAATATCAGAGCCATGAAGGGACATAGCGTTAGCAATTACAGTTTCTGGTGCAGCCCTCTCGTTTCACAGAGGGGGAAATTAGGGCCCAGAAAGTTGCAAGTGACTTTGCTCCAAGTCCACCTTCCCTGGAGAGCTGGTATTTAAACCCAGGTCCTCACACTGAATGAATAATGAATGAATTGTATTTATGTATGAAATTTTCTAAGATAAAGCCTGTTTCAATCAGTGACTCAATCTGACTTAGAAATTAGGAGAATGCTAAACAGATTGTTTCTTTGTAGCTAACGATGGAAGTTGATGGGAAGGTGGAGTCTATCATGAAGAGAACAGCTTTGGTGGCTAACACCTCCAACATGCCTGTGGCTGCTAGAGAAGCTTCTATTTACACTGGTGAGACCAATAACACATTCTTCATCTGTTCCAAAAAGATTTAATGCTAGGTCTTAACCTTACTTCTCTTTTTGATTTTTCTTTCATCTCTTTATAGCTAAACTCTATTAGTATGTTTTTTTTTTTAAAAAATGTATGAAATTTGAGCCATTCTTATTTTCCTCTGTGTCTGGTTCTGCTTACTAACATTTTTGGTTTATGGGCTTACACGTGTAACGCACAATGTTGGTGACAAATCAAAAGCCAAATGTCATGGTTCTCAGCAAATTGATAATTACTGTTTTTTGGGGGGGAGTTGTTAATCATTTAAAACAGGATTTCTTAAGTTAATATACTTAAGGCAAATTTTTTGACTACACTTGGTAGCCAGAAGGCATTTTTGCTATTCTAAAAAGCTATCAAAGTATCAAAATAAATATTAATGTGGTGAACATTTAAAGGAGATATAAATAACAGAGTAGCTAGCACTTGTTATTTTTTTGAGTTTTATGTTGAGACCTTCCCCAAAATATTTGTGGTTGTGTTATTTTTTTGAAAGTATCTAATTTGGTATACTTAATGTTAGAAAGAATGTTAATGTATATTTTAAATGTTTGTAGCTGAAATCTTTTTTGGTACATGTTCAGATAGCCTTTTTGAAAATGGCTGCATTGCATTTTTACTTCTATGTAATTGTTTGGTATTCAGCCACTAATTTACTTGAGATTTTTCTAGACTAATGTTTAATATTTTGGAAAAAACTTGTATTAACACTTGTCAGCTGTGGTAGATGTTTTTGTTCCTATCTAGTTTTAGATATTGAAATAATTCTTGAGAAATAAATAATTAATAATTTTATTGTGTCCCTTTCCTATTTAATTTGGAAGTGAAACAAAAATGACATCCGTTTGATGAGCTTTGGTTACCTTGTATTAAAAAATCTTAGGAATTTAACTACCTTAGGTTAAAAAATTCTGGAACTTAACTGCTGTATATACACCTTAACTGCCTTACATACATATACTTATATACAACAGTTCTAAGAAATTAACTTTCTTAAAATTTTATACTGTGTTATAGTAGGAAATATGAACCCATGGCCTACTGACTAGTTTTTATAGAAACCTTGCTGTTAAGCACATAACGTTGGAACATCTTGAGTGGTCTTGCCCTAAATTCAGAGGGCCCTTGGTCATTTAGCATGCTGCTAGGTGTGACATTACCAAATTATTTTCCAGAATATATTTCCTTGTTACTAGGAACCTACACTTTATACCATGTCAATTTTTGAAGTAATCCGTTTGAGAACATGCAAAAAGGATGTTTTAATTTTTAAGCTGAATCAGCTATAGGATATAATGGAGAGATTGGCAAAGGTCAAAGTCAGATGAGTCTGGTTTGATTTCTGACTCTGACACTAGCTTTGTGATACTGGCCAGTTCACTGTAAGTCAGTTTCCTCATCTATAAAATGGGAATAATAATAATAATATTTAACCATTTTGCGGGTTTTTTAAGGGGAAATCACTTTACCAGCTCCAAAGCATGCTATAAATGTGAGCTATTAGTGTTCAGAATTATGCCTTGTTTTCAACCTTCTGTTGAACATAGGAATTCTTGAAGGCTTTAATTTTTTTAGTGTTTATATAAGTAAATATAAAATGCAAGGATTAAAACTAAATGCTACTGAGCAAGATTTCAGTTGTTATATAATACAACCTATATGAATATATAAATTAGGACCAAGCATAGTCTTGGTATTCAAAAATGTGGTTACCAAATACAACCTCCCACACAGTGCAAAATTTTAGCATGTAAACTGACACACTAAGATCTTCCCCATGGAAAGGTGGTCTCTTAGATGATCTCTGAAGAAGTAGCAGATTTAAAAATTATACTGTAATTGGTGTCATTTCATATAAACTATCCTCCATGAGAGACTGCTGGCAGGAAAGAAGAGAAGATTTCTATAGCATCTGGTATGTGCCAGGCACTAAGTATTCTACAAATATTATCTTATTTGATCTTCATAGCAGCCCTGGGAGGTAGGTGCTATTATTATCCCCATTTTACAGTTGAGGAAACTGAAGCAGACAGGTTAAGTGACTTGCCCAAGGTCACACAGCTGGTAAGTATCTGAGGTTGGATTTGCACTCAGGTCTTCCTGACTCCAGGCCCAGTCCTCTAGCCACTGCACCACCTACCTGACTCTGGAAGTATTACATTTATCAGCGTACTCATTGTGGTAATAGAAGGATCATTGGATTATTTTTCAAGGACCTGACTCTGAAAATCACTAGGCATGTGACCCCGGGTAAGTCATTTTTAACTGGAGGGGTGTCACATATACAAAGTGTGGATCCTCTCTTCTCTGTTTAGGATCAGGATGGTTTTGAAAGTCCAACATGATGATATCTGTGAAAGTACTCCATCAGTTCTAAAGTGCTATACAGATAGAAGATGTTATTTTTTTTTAATTATCCGTGTTTCACAGATGGGAAAACTAAAACTCAGTAGTTGATTTGTCCATGGTCATACAGATAATGTATGACAAAGCCAGTGTCTTCTGACTCTTAGCACACTATTCTTTTGTTTGTTTGTTTTGTTTTTTGTTTTGTTTTGTTTTTTGGTTTTTTTTGGTGAGGCAGTCGGGGTTAAGTGACTTGCCTGCGGTCACACAGCTAGTGAGTGTCAAGTGTCTGAGGCTGGATTTGAACTCAGGTCCTCCTGACTCCAAGGCCGGAGCTCTATCCACTGTGCCACCTAGCTGCCCCTTACTCTTTCCATTAGTTTATAATCTCATCTAAGCATTTGAGTGTATGTAAATATCTGGAAGAGCAATTATTACATAGTAGAATTACCTCAATGAATGAGTCCCTGTGATGTGTAACAGTTAATACGTTTCTCATCAAGAGAAAAAAAATGTTGATATATAGACCAAATCCATTGAGCTATGTGGTACAAGGAATAGAACATTTGGTCTGCTGTCAGGAAGATCTGAATTCAAATATGGCCTCAGACACTTACTAGTTCTTTGATCTTGGGCAAGTAGTCACTTTACCTCTGTCTACCTCAGTTTCCTCAGCTGTAAATGAGGATAATGATAGCATCTCCCTCACAGGGTTGTAGTGATGATCAAATGAAATAGTACTTGTTAGCAGTAATGTGCCTGACGTATTGTAGATGCTTAATAAATTCCTTCCTAAATAAAAATCATTTCAGGCTCTCATTGAGATACTATAAAGAATGTGGAGAGTTTTTACCGTGTTCTTAATCTGTATTTGTTGCTTTAAAATTTTTGTACTCTTCTGAATAAAAAGACTTCGGTGGCATTTCATTAGTCTTATAACTTTTTCCCCCTTCCACCCCCAAATCCAGGAATTACTCTGTCTGAATATTTCCGTGACATGGGCTATAATGTCAGTATGATGGCTGACTCTACATCTCGATGGGCTGAAGCCCTTAGAGAAATCTCAGGTCGATTAGCTGAAATGCCTGCTGGTGAGTCATCATATTACTTTTTAGTGTAATCCAAACACTTTGGTGTATGTATGTGTTTCAGTTTTTAAAGAGACTGACCCTCTCTCCTGATTTTTGCAGACAGTGGTTATCCTGCATATCTTGGTGCCCGGTTAGCCTCTTTTTATGAGCGAGCTGGCCGAGTAAAATGTCTTGGAAACCCAGAAAGGGAAGGAAGTGTCAGCATTGTCGGAGCGTAAGTGTACAAATTCTGTTTTTCAAATGAAAGGAGGTTTTGTTTTTTGTTTTTGTTTTTTCAAATGGTCATTACATTTAAACGCTATGATGTCTTGTTACTGCATTGTGACATTTGGACTTGTTATATGAACTTTGTACAGATCATGCCACTAATTGCTGAAATAAAAATGTACTAAATTTATCAGCTCTTGGTTTTGTTTAAAATACTCAGTCTGGGGGCAGCTAGGTGGCACAGTGGATAGAGCACTGGCTCTGAAGTCAGGAGTACCTGAGTTCAAATCCTGGCCTCAGACACATAACACTCACTAGCTGTGTGACTGTGGGCAAGTCACTTAACCCCAATTGCCTCGCTAAAAAAAAATAAATGAAATAAAATAAAATAGAATACTCAGTCTTGACCATTTGGGGGCACGTAGTGTCCCATTCAATTTTTGTTTCATTCTTTTTTGACCTATGTCTTATAGTCTCACATACTTAAAACATAGTAGGTTATCTATAATTCTTTCCTGGATGCCCTTAGGGTAAAAATCATGGAAGATGATTATTACTGTCTTTTCATATATTTTGGATTCACCAACCTTTGTCCTATATTTGAGTTACTTTGTTACTCCTATCATTGAGTTACTATAAAGAATGTGAAGAGATTTCACCATGTTCTTAATCTGCAGTTGTTGCTTTAAAATTTTTGTACTCTTCTGAATAAAAGGACTTTGGCATTTCATTAGCTTTATAACTTTTTCCCCCTTCATTCCCGAGTAATCTTTGTCTTACTTAGGTAATTTTTTTCTCTTCAGAAAATAACATGCATACATATATGTACATATATCTCAGTAAAAATGTGTCAAATAATGTATACAATTATATGTAAAACCAATTTGTCAGTTGCCAAAGGAAAATATATAGCATTCATATGTAAAACCTTATCAAAATAATTACCATGAAATCTTAATTGCTCTATATCTTATTAGATCTTCTAACATTTACTTTTGTATGGTTGTAGTCTATGTTGTTTTCTTTCTGTTAATTCAACATGTCTTTCTGTATGTCTTTATTAGCTTTCATATTTGTCATTTTTATGGTGCAGTAATATTCCTCTACAGTGACACAGGACAATTGATCCATTCCCCAGTCATTGGACATATAAACTGTTTCTAGTTTTTCCAGAAAATAAAGCTATTATGAATATTTTGATACATCTTTTTTTTTTCCTTTTAATAACATTCTTATGATAAAATCCTAGTAGTCACTTCTCACAATGTTTCCATGTTGCTTTCTCTAAGTGTGTGTGAATCCCATGGATTTTTGTAATAACTTGTTTTTCTCTTTGGTTTTTCTGCTTAGTGTTTCTCCCCCTGGCGGTGACTTCTCCGATCCTGTCACATCTGCCACTCTTGGCATTGTTCAGGTATGTTCTTCTTTGGTAGAATCAACATTGGAATGTTTCCTTTGTGCTATTGACTTTAAGAATGTTATTCAAATTCGTCTGTAAAGCATGAACCTTAGTGAATAACCAGATTTACTCTAAATACTTTTCAGAAGCATTCCTTATGTTGGACATCACTAATATTCAGGATTAAATCTGGAGAGATGTGAGAGATGTGTGGCATAGTAGATAGACAGTCTTTCTATATTTAAACCAGTATAAGGTCTGTTTTTTCCCTTGTTACATGAGTCTATTGTGAAGGTTAGGCAAAAGTTAGGAAAATTATTGTTCTCACATAAAATATTTGTTTTAAAATTTGTATGTGCTATCCAAAGACCTTTCTAGTTGTATTTTATGAATATATGTAAAATGTTTTACAAATATTCATCCTTGGAGAATTGATTACCCCTATCAGATGGGCCTTTATTATTGCCTAAATATGATTGGACTGAGTTCAGTGTTTTCAGACAGGCAAGTGATGATGTTGTACAAATGTGACCATAATATACGATTTGCAATCTATAATGGAACCATTAACGTATGGTGGGACTCCATATATATAAATGAGTTGATTTTGACGTCTTTTTAAAAAATGGTTTAAACATTGTTTGTTCTTTTGGACAGGTGTTCTGGGGCTTAGATAAGAAACTGGCTCAGCGTAAGCACTTTCCTTCAGTAAACTGGCTGATCAGCTACAGCAAGTACATGCGTGCCTTGGATGAGTACTATGACAAGCATTTTACAGAGTTTGTACCTCTGAGGACCAAGGCTAAGGAGATCCTTCAGGAAGAAGAGGATCTGGCAGAGATTGTACAGCTCGTGGGGAAGGTGTGTTATTAACACCTACATTTAGAAAGTGATGAAATTTTGGTAGCAATGTTATAACAGGTGGGACTTATTTGTGTGATCTCATTCATCATTCACCTGCTACAGACTTCCACATGCCAGTTCACTTATTAATTCAGCACATAATTATTCAGTGCTTACCACTCTTCAAGGTGAGATGACTAGGTGTGAAACAAATATAAATAGCACGTGTTCTTTATAGTCTAATAATTAATATCACGCTGGCATGAGAGTCATGCTTTTTTCTGCTTGTGGGGAAGGAGAGGTGACAGGGAGAGGGGACTAGCAATAGGATTGCCAAAGAAGGTCATTGAATCCTTTTTTTTTTTTTTTAAGTACAAAAAAGAAAACAGAAAGACCAGAGGGAACTCAGACAAAGAGCAGTTTTGAAAATTACGTGTTGGATTTATTATATATTTAAATGGAAAAACGAGCTGTACATAGTAGAAGTTCATAATTTCATGTAGAATCTTCTATTTTTTATATAGAAATGCTTATTTTATTTGGTTTTTGTTAAGTTCAGAATAAAAATGAACCGAAATTATTCTTAGAAAATTAGGCACCTGCTATTTTAGTAAATTTTTTTTAAATTATGAAGAACAAAGTTGAAAGGAAAACTCAAGTGGGTAGACTGTCATATAGAAGCAGCAACAGACAGCAGCTTTCTTTGGAATAGGTGATTAAGAGAAGTAATCCATTTATTAACCTTCAAAAGGCTAATATGTCAGCTTTTTTTTTTTTTTTTTAGTAAGGCAGTTGGAGTTAAGTGACTTGCCCAGGGTCACACAGCTAGTAAGTGTCAAGTGTTTGGTCTGATGCCAGCTTTGAACTCAGGTCCTCCAGACTTCAGGGCTAGTGCTCTATCCACTGCGCCACCTAGCTGCCCCTGATATGTCAGCTTTTAAGGATAGTAAAATACTATATATGAAATATTTTTTTAAAAAATACTAAATTCCCTTCCACTTGGACTTTGTTTTGTGTGTGATACTACCTGTGCTCAAAGTACATCAGCACTTTTTTTTTTTTTTTTTTTTTTTTTTTTTTTTTTTTTTCATTTTAGTTGGAGACCACTGTTGTCATTATCACTACTTTTCAGACAAACCATAATTTGGAACTCTTATTTGGGTACCTTTAAGATCAAAAATTTCAGGTTCAAACAGTGTTTACTTAATAAATATGCCAAGATGAGAGAAGCATTTAGCAGTACTAAAGGGTCTTTTCAATCCAATCTTATGGCATTTATTGAGTGCCTAACTACATGTGTTGTCATATTAATAGCTGTGAAGATCCAGCTAATGTGATGTCTTTATTTACAGTTATCTGTTCTACAATTTGAAATATTGTGGGCCTTGTATTTTATAGGCTTCTTTAGCAGAAACAGATAAAATTACCTTGGAGGTAGCAAAACTTATCAAAGATGACTTCCTGCAGCAAAATGGATATACTCCTTATGACAAGTAAGCCATGGTGATTTTTAGTCTTTTGTTGTTGTTTTAGTACAGTGAGAGTCTTTCTGTTCATCGGTTACTGAGTGACCAGTGGTAGTGTATGCCATCATGGGGAGAGTAGAAAAAATACCTTCCTACTGTTTTAGCTCACATTTTTCTATTGCTCATTTGTCCAGCCATGACCCTCAGGACCCTAACGGCTCAGGTAATACTCTGTGAGGAGACATTTCACTGACTCAAAGATAATTTTGGAATCATTTATTGTTACCTCTCCCAAAGACTTTTCCTCACCATAAGCTTACCACCTGTCTCCCTTACTACAATTAAAGGTCTTTATTTTCACCTTCTCCACTCGTTAGCTATCCTATTTTGTGGCTCCTCACTTCCCCAAAAGTCTTGTTTCTTGTTCTTCTTCTTTACCAAATCTCTTTTGAGAGCTTCAAACCCCTTCCTCTCTGTATGCAAACGCATGAACACACTGTCGTGCACACACACACACACTCAACATTTCTAATTTTCATCTGTCATTATCTCTGCTGCAGCTTTGGCTTACCATGACCTTTTTTCCTTTCTAAGAGCTAAAGTCCTTAAATTTGTCTTCTCTAATTCCCTAATTATGTCCAAGTATAAAACTAAAGATAGCCATAGAAAAGTTGCTGGGCAAGCAAGTTTTATGTATAAAAGTTTCAGCACAAAAATATTAGAAAATCCAACGTATGACAGTGTGCACATGACCCATAGATGTCAGAATAGGTTGATGATATGAATACTTTATACTAATCAGTATGATATAGTTCCTCTCCCAGCATAGCCCATAGATGTGGATGTGGCCTTCTTATCCTGTATATTTTTTGTATTCCATAAAATTCCTGTCAGCCACATATTTATATCACATTTTGCAATGACACAAGTTGCCTTTTTGAAGCAGCTAGCCCATATTAGCCTATGGGAAGCTTGTACTTTTTTTAAAGCCTGAGCTGTTTGTTTGTTACATTAAGTCTTGTCCATCTATCTCAAGGGAGTCCTTACCACTCATTTATTATCATTTGAGTTACTTCTTAAACTGCAGAGCACCAGAACAAGCCCCCAGAGAGTAATTAAATTTTAGCAGTAATATTCCATCTGTCCTTCTATTTGATATCTGCAAATATGTTTCTACCATACTATGTAGGAGACAAAGGAAATTGATTCATCTGAGGTTTTTTTGCCATGAGAAAGCGTTACTCAAAATTCCCTCCTTTTTTCCTAATTCACCTCATCTTCTAACATCTTTTGTATTGTTTCATATTAAACTAATTTTAAGCCCAATATCTTGGGATTTAAATTTCTTAATCATGTTATTCCATTTGTCCTAGGTTCTGCCCATTTTACAAGACTGTAGGCATGCTCTCCAATATGATTGCTTTTTATGATATGGCACGCAGAGCTGTTGAAACGACTGCCCAGAGTGATAATAAAATCACATGGGCCATTATCCGAGAACATATGGGGGATATTCTCTATAAACTTTCCTCTATGAAATTCAAGGTAGGTAATATGGTATTGTTTAGAGTTTCCCCAGTATTCTTTAGTAGGAAATTTCTTTTTTTTTTGTCTTAAATACTAAATCCCAAGTCCTTAATTACTGTGTCTAAGACATGCAATTTGTTCCATATCCATATACCCAGGTTCTGGAAAGTAGACCAGGCCTAAAAATTACGCAGCAGTTGAAATTCCAGTTATCAAATTTTAAAATGTTTGTACAAATTTAACAATATGCTTCCCTTTTTGCCTTAGTCACTAGGAAACTAAGAATAGATTTGAGAGGCAAGAAAAAGAGAGTAAGTTAAAGAAGACGATACTTACTACCTGTGTGACCACAAGCAGGTCACTTGTGCTGTCTGTGCCCCTGGCAGCTCTCTTAAGATGAAGTACAGCTAAATTACTGATCTACCTCTGTAGAGAGGAGTTCCACACCCAGATCTCCTTGCATTGATGAAATCACAGATCTAAATTAAAAAACAACAAAAATAACAGTAGAATTAGCTTAAGTTTCCTCCCAAACTAACTTTAAACCCAGCATCTTGGGATTTAAATTTCTTAATCATGTTATTCCATCCTATGTTCTGCCCATTCTACAAGACTGTAGGCATGCTCTCCAATATGATATGACCCCATTACATAGTCTCTACTCCATTTTATACTATTACAACTGTTAAATTAATGCCTTTGCATATGTAAGTCTTGGATTAATAAATGAAAGAAATACATGGAGGGAGAGGGAGAAACATTTGAAACTCAGAAGCTTATGGAAGTGATTGTTGATAATTCAAAATAAATTAGCTTAAAAAATAAAAAAAGAAATACATGTAAATTACTAATAAGATTTCACATATAAGATCCTTTTCAAAATTATTTAGTCAATTCATTGATCTTATGCACTTCATCTCCAAAATTATTTTTAATAAGAATAACTCACGTTTACATATAGCCCCTTAAAGTTTATCAAGAGTTTTCCTTACAACAACCTAATGATGTAGGTTGGTATAACTATTAGATTCATTATGTAGATAAAGTGACTAAGGCTGTGAAAGGTAATCTGTCCATGGTCACATAACTAATAACTGTCTAGTTTTCTCCCCTTGCACCAAATTTCCTCCCAATTTATGTGTGTGGAATATCAGCCAACAGGTGTTTATTCTAGTGCTGTGCGTGCACTATCCTAAGTGTTTGAGATACAAAGACAAAAATGAACAGTCCCTGCCCTCAAAAGAGCTTACATTTTAATAGCAGAGATGATACGTGCATACATAAACTTATGTAAGACAGAAAGCAGGACAGGGTAGCCTTGATGAGAAGGCACTGGCAGCTGAGGAGACCCAGAAAGCCCTCCTGTAAAAGATTGCGTTTGAGTTGAGTCTCAAGGGCAAGCCCGAAATTTCGAGAGATGGGTGAGGAAGGATAGTGTTCCAGGCATAGGAAAGAGCCAGTGCAGAGGTATGAAGACTGGGTATGGGGACTTGTGGCTAAGTGGTCAAAAGCTTTAACTGCCAAACAGGACATAGATGTGATCTTAGAGGTAATATAGAGCCACTGTAGTGTTGATTGGAGATATATGACATGGTGAGAAATAGGGTTTAGGAAAATCAGGTTGGTGGCTGTTTAAAGGATGCTTTGGAGTGAAGAGAGGCATGAGGCAAGGAAATCAGTTAGGAAGCTGCTACAGTAATTTAGTTAAGGACCCCAATGTAGCTCTGTTTACTTATTTATTAATGATAGACAAAAACTGAAATAAAGATGAATTAATATTTGATCCTGGAGTTTTTTGAGTCCAGGACGGTCTAGTCTCATGATCACACCTGCACTTTTAGGTAAGTCAGCTGTGTGAAGGAAAGATTGGAGGGGAGAGAGATGTAGGTCAAGGAAACCAATGAGAAGACTTTTGTAGGTGTTATAATTAGGGCCTGAATGAGGGTGGTGACTATGTGAAGGGAGTAATGCAGGAGCTGCTTTGGAGATAAAATCTCCAAGACTTGGCAGTTCCCTGGATGTGTGCAGGGAGAAGCTGAGGATGACACAAAGGTTGTGGATTTGGGGGACTAGAAGGATCATGACACTCTTAATAGATATAGGGAAATTTATAGAAGATGGGTGAGTTTCAGGGAAAAGATTGTCATGAGATCTGTGATGATAATCACAATCCATCCATGTGTGTTCGTCCTGGGTAACTCACTGAGTTCCACCCCAAACAAAAAGGGATGGAGGGAGTAGAGTACTGAGGGGTCCTTGTCACAACTAGGGGAGTGGGGATGGGGTAGGGTAGAGTATAGGTACACTGGAAGCAGAAGGATTTTGCCTGCCTAGCTGCTGGTGTAGGCTCCTTGGTCACAGATAGATTATAGTTTCCCTGAGGACTGGAGCTTAAGGGTGAAGACTAGGAGGTTGTGCAGCCGCAGGAGGCCAGTAGCCGAAGTGGGTGGCATGTTGGGTATATCAGGTGATAATGATAAAAGGAGATGAGGTTTTTTCGGAGTTATTTCATTTAACAGAGGGACAAATGGGAAACTTTAGGTATTTTATTTGTTTTAACAAAGGGTGGAAAAGGGAGAAATTGATGAGTAATGGTAGTAATAGTGATACCAAAAAAGAGCATCAGTTAAATATTCTTTAAAAACAAAGAGGAGGTAGAAGGATATTCAGCAGGGAAACAAACAGGACAATTTTGTTTTCTTAAATTGAATATGTGTGTGTGTTTTTTAAAATGTCTAAGTCCAGAGTTACCTTTATAATCCTTTTTCTGTTCTTTGTGTGTTGAAATGGTCACATTGATGTTTAACGTTCATAATAAAATAATTATAATTCATCATAAAAACCAATCATGAAAAATAATGACAATATGTGGATTATATTAAATATGTAAATAAAATAATAATAAAATATAATTCATTAAGTTTCTGTTGTAAATCACTTTAAGCAACAATAAGTGGCATAATAGTTAACTGTTGCATTTTTGAATGATATTGTAGTTGACTAGCATCAACTGTTAAGTGCCTGCTATGTGCCAAATTGTACAAAAATAACAATTATGTAAAATAATGGATGATATATGGATAAGGGATGCAAAATGAGTATCTTTTCTCCTCTAGGCTGTAAACTCCTAGAGGACAAGTACTGTCCCTTATTCATCTTTGTGGCCCACTTAATGACTCACTCATCTTAGGTGCTCAGGAAATCTTGAGAGGGTGATACATGTAGCCTGAGGGTTGACCATCACCACCAACTGGATCAGGGTCTGGGGAGCAGGGAGTGAAGATTAGGTGGGTTTCTTAGAAGTAATGGATAGTCTAGTCATTCAACAGGGCAATGGTAAAGAAACAAGAAATTACATGATCTGTCAGGGGATATGATGATTAGTCTGGTTTGGCCAATATGTGAAGGGAAGTAGTATGAAACAAATCTGGAAGAGTGTTATCAGAGTGTGGGAGCTTTGAATGCCAAGCTAAGGAATTTAAATTTTAGTATGTGACACTAAACTTTTTTTTTTTTTTAATTTTAAATAATTCTTTTTAAACTCCTATTGTATAGTTCTAGATTACAGTCTTTTTTGGAGAGAGTCTGTTTTACAGACCCAGCAATGAATTATGCCATCTTTATATTTATTATTGCTTTTTTGGTGGATAGGCATTGGCACCCATTGTCCTCTACACCTGTAGTTAGTGATACTTTCCAGTAGTGTTGAGAATAAAACTTCATAATTTGCATGTATATAGTCAGAAGCCAAAACAAAAATAAGTCGTTTTTCTTTCTCTTTGGTTAGAACACATTTCCTTTTACGTATCTCACAGGCAGCCAAAAAGGGCACTGCATTTGATAATTATATGACTTTTGCTGACTTTATTCAAAGTTTTATTAAATACTTGTAACTTACAAAAAATACTAAGAAGAGAGTCTTCCAAGGTTATTTAAATAATTCATGCATCTTGTTTTCAGGATCCAGTAAAAGATGGTGAAGCTAAGATCAAGGCTGACTACGCTCAACTTCATGAAGATATGCAGAATGCATTCCGAAGCCTGGAAGACTAGAACTGTATTTCTTCTCTCCTCGTCTCCCTCAACCAGCTCATGTGTTCTTATCTCTTTAAATTCCACATCTCTTCCCCTTTTCTTCCTGATTGTGCATCATTGAGACCAGTACATTTGTGTGTGTGTGTGTGTGTGTGTGTATATGTGTAATCATTTGTTTTCCTGTTCATATTTGGTAGGTCTTACATAAAACAAACATTCCTTGGTTTCAGTGTTTGATGGGCCTCCCTGATTCTTTGTCTGAAGTGTCAAATATAATCACCAGGACTATATCTGGTACAAAGTGGGAATGGCTACACTAACATTAGCTTGGTTAGAGGATGATTTGATGACTTTCCCCCTTTCTCCTAATTTTTCCTTTTCCCCAAGTTACAGACAAGAGTAATACAGGTATTTTTTTTTTTAAAGCAGATGTTTTGGCACGAAAGGCCTTGCCCCTGTATCTTTTGACAGGGAGCCAGTACATGGAATGACTCATTGTTCTCTGTGGTGAGGGTGTTTGCAGCTTAGCATTTTGCTAGTTGCCTACTATGCAGAAAATTAGTGGTTTCCTTTTTTTTTTTTTTTTAGTAATGAGATTGATTAATATTGTTCTAATTATGGGTTGCTTCTACTAATAAAAATCAGGAATATTTGTAGAAAATTGTGGAGAACTACACTGTTTCTCCAATTGTGCCTAAAGTATGGTGAGTGTATTGAAAGTGCATATGGGGCTCAACAAAATATTTGAATCAGTACCAAAAAAGGGAGGGGTAGCCAGGTTGCCAGCTTAACATTAACATCATACTTTGAAAGCATGCTGTGTTTCTATAGGTAAATATATTGCATCAAGAACTGTTGTACTGCACTGATGTTGAATTTCTTTTAAAAGTGTGCTTCAAATGATCATCAGGGACATGTGCCACCCTTACTCCCTTTCTTTCCTTGACAACTATTTTAGAAGCTCTTCCAAGTTTTGTAGAGTATGTATGAGATGCAGGGAGAATGGTGGCTCGGTGGCTGTTTGGTACTGTTAAGGAAAAGTTTGACTGTAAAAATGCTACCCTGGCTCCTAGAATCATGTTTTTGGAATAATTACCTGTCCACCACATTGTGTGCATGTTTTAAAAAGAAAAGTATCTGTTTGCCAGTTTGTGAAAAATAACCTGTTCACGAGCATTTTCTTTCTCGTGATTGGTGATGCTGGCTCTGGTTTTTCCCATTACTGGCACAAGAGATTCCCCAGATTGTCTGTTTGTAGCCATAGCAACATAACTTCAAAGGTTCCCCTCCATTCTGTAGGGCTGATGGGAATAGTAGATTCTTGTGTTTGTTACTAATCCCTAAAGGTGTTGGTGACAATGGCCTTTACATTCCACTCTACAGAAATACTAAAAGTCATCTGGAAAAGGAGGTGGTTTCATCCTGTCTCTTAATGCAAATTTTAAAATGTGATCATTGTGGGGTACATAAGGAAGGAAAACCACAGTGTGACCCTGAGAGCAACAGTTTCCTGTTAACTATCACTTGACAAAAGTTCTGGCATTATTGCTTCTGAATTAATAGATTTTAGAAGGAAAGGGGGAGAGTTCTTTGAGGGGAGCACTTGTAGCTATCTCAAATAGTTGTAAGAGCCTAGATAACATAACGTATTTATTTTATGCCGTGATAGATTGATTTTCAGACAGTATCTTTTTGTTGGCCTATTAAGGGTGGGTGCAATCATTTGAAGTTATACTTGTAGTTTTGTTTATCCATAACAGATTGCATATTCTTGTGATGGTCTGCTGCTCAAGAAAGGTGTTCTTCCCATGAAACTTTTTTGAAACCATTTCAACATACTGCCAGATAAGAGAAATTATGCATTGGATTGTTGTTGACCTGTAGACCTCATGGTCCTGCTTAATCAGTTTGCTTCCAATGTGGCTTCCTACCCATTGGCACTAAGACCAACAGAAATTAAAAAAAGATTTTCCATACATCAAAAATTCTTCCTTATTCTACCATAAACCAACAGGCAAACTGAGATTGTGCCAGTAATCAGTGATCTGATGAAGAAGGAGTGACCAAGATTTTACTGTTGCCTGAACATCGTGTATGCATCTTTTAAGAATGTTGATGTATGAGTATGAGAAGATGTCATGGAAACCATGACCCTTCGTCTATGGTGTTCCTTCACCACTACCATGTTATAGAATTTCAGATTAGGGGGACTGATCTTATTTCTTTAATAGGGGTGTGGTAAACTTAAAATAATCTTTTAAAAAAAGATGATGCAGTTCTATATTTATTGTGCTGTACCTGGCCCAGATGGAGCCAGTTCAACCAGTTTAATTTGTATTTTTTTCCAGTGTTAAATCTCACATTGTGCCCATTAAAAAATTTCTTCCCCACCTCAGGAATGAGGCAAAAATATTGCCCATTTTCTCCTTGAGATTTCACTACCTTTATGTTACAAGTTGTGTATAATTGTTCAACTATGAGAGAATAAAAAGTGGATTTAAAGTAATCCTGGGTTTTCCTCTTTTTGTGGCCAAATCTACTAAAATAATACTATACAAAATGTTTAAATTTGTAGTCAATTTCTACTGATACTTTTGGAGTTAGCTTACAGGTTAACTCCTCTTTTCATCTTTTGTTGTAAGGAAATTCGAACACAACTTGCTCCTGATAGCTAAATATTTGAATGGTGATAGGGTCCCAAAACGACCCCTCTCCCTTCCAAAAAGAAAATTGTGTTCCTTTTAGTTTTAAAGAACAGCACCTAGACCCTTCCAAATCTCTAAATTTCTATTTCTAAAACTCTAAAAATCTCTAAATTTCAATCTCTAAAACTGCACTTAAATTCAAGAGGTCTATGAGACAAGTAAGAAGTAAAACCTTATAAGTTAGTTTACTTAAAAATAATTTAAGCTTACTTATAAGTAATAAGGAAGCATAGGAAATTACATGGATGTTTATTTAAACAGTATTTTGTTAATATCCTTCCAATTACCAAACACTTCTTGGAAGAAAAGCCCAAATTTCTCTAGAAAATAAACATTAAATAAAAACTCACAGGAAGGAATAGTAGGTCTCTGTAAAAGGCCCTAAACTTGGTCTATTGGAGCTTTGAAAATGACTTTGAGGATATTAGGTAATGTTTTGCCATAGAAGAGACCATCTCAATCTAAACCTGCTAAAAGGAAGCATCCAGTTCCCCAAAATAAAGTGATGAAATAGGTTAGAGCATGAAGTGCACAGTACTGTGACTTAAAAACACAGAACATGATTTCCGTAACAATTTCTGAGGAACCTAAAAAGTTGCTAAATAACTGAAAGACATTTTTTAACAAATGAAAAATCGAAAGAGTCTCTAGTGATTCTTGGGAAAGGAAAAACTTTTTTTTTTTTTTTTTAAACAAAGCAGGAGGTACAAAAGAAGCCAGGTTGTGGGATTTAATTTACTTGTAAGGAAAGTGACACCTGTAGAATCAGGTAACCTTAGAGCTAGGAGAGAACTTACGGAGCATGTAGCCCAGCACCCTCATTTTACAAACTTTACACAGAGGACCTAAAATGTTTAGTTACTTGTCCAAGGCTTCAGAGTTAGAACTAGAAGCAGATCTAGGTAAATTTAGGCAGCCAGGTGGCAGTGTGGACAGTGTTGGACCTGGAGTCAGGGAGATCTGTCCAAATATGGCCTCAGATTCTTTCTTGGTGACTCTGGGAAAGTCACTTAACCTCCATCAGCCTGTTTCCTCATCTGTTAAATGAGAATAATATCATCCACCTCCCAGAATTACGAGGAGAAAATGAAATCTTTATAAATTAATCACTTTGCAAGCCTTAAAGTGCTTTAATTATTAAACCTCTTAATTGCAAGCCCAATTGTCCTGACATTCATTTTCTCCTCCCTTAGCTTTTTTTTTTAATTAGAAATCAAAAAAATTCCTAGTCTGATAAAGTAAGAAACAGGCAATTTCCAAAGGAAATCCACCCTATGAACATCTGTGTGGGGAAAAAATATTCTAAGTCACTAATTGTTAAGAGAAATGCAGATTAAAGCAATTCTAAGGTTCCACCTTACATCTATCTGATTGAAAACAATGACAAAGAAAATGACAGCTGTGGGAAAATGGGCACACCATAAGGCTGGTGGAACTATGGATTGGTCTAGCAGTTCTGGACAACAGTTTGGAGCTATGTCCAAAAACAATCACTAAACTGTGTGTGCCCTTCAACCCAGGAATACCGCCAATAGTGCTATATCCCAAAGAGATCTAAGAAAGAGGAAGAGGTTCCACATATACAAAATAATTTATAGTAGCAAAGAACTAGAAATGAAGGGGGTGCTAATCAGTTGGAGTATGGCCTAATAAATTATGGCATATGAATATAATGGAATACTTACGTAATTACTATAAGAATTGACAAGGTTTCAGGGAAGCCTGAAAAGACTTGTATGATGAGCTGCTGCAGAGTGTAGTAAGCAGAACTAGGAGAACAATTTCTACAACATTGTTGCAACAGCAACAATACTTGAATGCCTTAAGAACTCTGATCAAAGTAATGACCAGCATGATTCCAGAAGATTGATGATGAAATATGCTGCCCATCTCCTGAGATAGAGGTGATGCAGTCAAGATGCACGAGACATGTTTTTGGATACGCCTAATGCAGGAATTTCTTTCAGTTGATGTGCATTTTTGTTTTTATTTTTTTCTTTGGGGAAGGGGAGATAGGACAGAAAATAAAATGTTCATAAAAAAAGAAACTTCAATTTTAAAAAAATAAGACAAACTAAAGAAATTTTGATAAGAACTAAGGCCAGTTTTTTTATACTGGCTAGGTAAGAAAGCCCAGAGTGTCACAAATCATTCCCTCTGAAAAAGGTGAGAGTTAAGTGCGAAACTGCCAAGAAGCTGAGACCAAGTGAAGGGCAGGGTGATCTATAGATTACTCTTCTCTACAAACATGCCCTAGTCTCATAAATTTAAAAGATACATAATTTAATCACTGTGGATACTCTATCCAATGACAGATTGTAATCGCAATGTGACTTAGAAGATTTTCTTCAAAGTTGCTGTGGCTGAAAAATTAACCACGTTAAGCCAACCTGTTAATGAGCTCCAAACTTGTCCAGGAAGTGACAAATAAACAGTCCATCACTGGGCCCATACTCAAAAGTCTTCTAACTTAGTAGTGCCTTGCAATGAGAAGCCAGGGTCCCCTCGACGCCGTGATGAAGCATGGAGTAGATCTTTAGTGGAGGTCCAAAGAGAAAACGGTAGTGTAGAGAAGGAGCAGTGCAGTAGAAGACAAGTCAACCTAGGCTCAAGTCCTTCCTCAAAGTAGGTCATTGGTGATGTGGTTTCACCTCTGTGGAACTCAGTGTCCTCCGTAAGAGTTAAACTGAATGATCATCGAAATACCCTCCAACATAAAACCTGTTGGGAAAGATGCCTATATGTAAACACAGGATTTCTGTGATTTTAAAGGAGAGCTTATCTAGTTTGTTTTGTTGTTGTTGTTGTTGTCTTTAGTGCGCTGAAGAATGTGATAATTCCTATAGTTTGAACACATCCTACCATCCAATTATTGGAAGGAAATAGCAACCACAACAAAAACCCCAAAGACGGACTCAGATTGAAGGCTCAGTTTGTACCTGTCAGTCTGTGCAACAAACCCTGAATAGACATTTCAGACAGCCCCATTACTAGAGCAAGACTGACCTACATAGATGTCTCAATTCAGAAACTGGCTCTTAAAGGGTTCACAGGTGGCTGTCAGTTTTAAGTTACATATTTAATAAAATTAGCACTCCATAAATAGCATGATGATATACTTAGAGAATCAACTAAAAAACTAGTTAAAATAATTAACAACTTTAGCAAAGTTGCAGGATGTAAAATAAACCCACATAAATCATCAGCACTTCTACTCTAAAGTCTTCTGTTATAAAGTCCAGCAGGAAGAGACAGAATTGGAAATTTCCTAATATAATAGAAATCCCATAATATAAAATATTTAGGAGTCTACCTACCAAGACAAATCCAGGAATTGTACAAACAATTACAAAATACTTTTCACACAATAAAGACAGATCTAAACGATTAGAGAAATATTAATTGCTCATGGGTAGGTCAAGCCAATTCTACTGAAATTAATTTACTTGTTTAGTGTCATACCAATTAAACTATCAAAAAATTATAGAGTTAGAAAAAATAACAATTCATCTGGAAGAATAAAAGATCAAGAATTTCAAGGGAATTGATGAAAAAATGCCAAAGAATTCAGCCTAGCAGTACGATATTTCACAGTGTATTACAAAGTGGTAATCGTGAAATCTGGTACTGGCTAACAAATAGAGAGGTAGATCAGAGGAAGAAATTAGGTACACAAAACACAGTAGTGAATGACCTTAATCATCTAGTATTTGACAAACCCGAAGATCCAAGATTTCTGGACAAGAATTCACTATTCCACAAAAATCGATGGGAGAACTGGAAAGCACTTTGGCAGAAACTAGGTATAGACCAACATCCCATACTGTATACCAAGTTAAGAGCAGAAACTAGGTATAGACCAACATCCCATACTGTATACCAAGTTAAGGGCAAAATGGGTACATGATTTAGACATAATGGGTAATATCATATGCAAATTAGTACAAGGAAAAATTTACATGTCAAATCTATGGATAAGAGAAGAATTTATGACCCAACAAGAGATAGGATCACAAGAAGTAAAGTTGATCATTTTGATTACATTAAATTAAAAAGGTTTTACACAAACAAAACCAATGCAGCCAAAATTAGAAGGAAAGCAGAAAACTGGGGGGAAATTTTTACAGCAAGTTTCTCTGATAAAGGCCTCATTTCTCAAATTTGGCCAGAGAACTGGGCCAAATTTATAAAAATATGAGTCATTCCTCAGCTGATAAATGGTCAAAGGATATGAACAGAATTTTCAGAAGAAATCAAAGCTATCATCACATGAAAAAAAGCTATAAATCATTATTTATGAGACAAATGCAAATTTAAAACCCCTGAGGTACTACCTCACACCTATCAGATTGGCTAATATGACAGAAAAGGAAAATGATAAATGTTGAAGGGGATATGGAAAAACTGCGACACTAATGCATTGTTGGTGGAGTTGTGAACTGGCCTAACCATTCAGGAGTATAATTTGGAACTATGCCCAAAGGGATATAAAATTGTGCATACCATTTGACCCAGCAATACCACTACTAAGTCTGTGTCCCAACAAGATCAAAGAAAAGGGAAAACATGTACAAAAATATTTCTTTTTGTGGTGGCAAAGAATTGGAAATTGAGGGGATGCTCATCAATTGGGAAATGGCTAAACAAGTTGTGGGTATGATCATGATGAAATACTATTATGCTATAAAAAATAATGAGCAGGATGATTGCAAAGAAACCTGAGAAGACTTATATGAACTAATGCAAAATGATGTGAACAAAACCGGGATACATAGTAACAGCAATGTTCTTTTTTTCTTTT